ATGGAATGCCCATCTCTGACAAAACTAAACAAAAAAGGGATACAAATGAAGGACCATTTTGTATCTGTATATTCAAAATAGTTAGGGTAGATATACAGCTACTTTCTCTTAATTCAATGAATAGAAAGATTTGCACTACTAGTGTTTGGACAGGATATCATGTCTGCATCTTGTACTATGAATAACCACTAAGAAGACAACAATATACAATGTATTAATTATTGAAACTGTCCTACTAATCAGTTTTGAAACTGTCTCATTGCTATTGGTTTCTCAATAAAATTATTATTATTATTATTAATTTTTTTGGCAGAACCAGGGACTGAACTCAGGCCCTTGCGCTTGCCAGGCAAATGCTTATTGTACTGAGTTATTTCTCTGGCCCCTCAATAAAATTATTAAAAAAAAAAAAAGAAGAAGAAGAAGAAGAAGAAGAAGAAGAAGAGGAAGAGGAAGAGGAAGAGGAAGAAGAAGAAGAAGAAGAAGAAGAAGAAGAAGAAGAAGAAGAAGAAGAAGAAGAAGAAGAAGAAGAAGAAGAAGAAGAAACAGTCATAATCCCAGCACTCAAAAGGCTAAGGAAGGATTGCTGTGAGTTCAAGGTCAACCAGGGCTACAGGGTGAGCTCAAGGCCAGCCTGAACTGCATGGTGAAGTTCTTTGTCTCAAAAAGAACAAAAGAAAAGTAAAGAAAGGAAAGTCACTTGGATAATTCAAACCCAGAGAGACATCAATGCTTGAGATTCCTTAGTATTTCACGTAAGAGAGACTTTCTAGGGTAACAATTATCTTAACAACACTTTGGTGTCTTGCTGGCTCTTACAGGCCCTCAAGATGTCTTAGGGCTGCAGTGCTGGGGAGGTCACCCTAGACTGGCTGATTGGGAAGCCTCCTATAGAATCATTTTATTGGGATTGGTTTAGCTGGCAAGGGGGTGAGGTACCACCAAATGCTCTTAATACAAAGAGGCTCCTTATGTTGGAGATTCCCCGCAGGGAGCCCTGGAGCGTTCCTAATCTCATGTAAGTGAGGAGTGCCACAGACTCCAGGGAAAATATGCTGATGATTTTCTGGACTGTCTAAAAAATTTCAAACCCCAGGAATGGTGTTTTTATTTTCTGCACTCTCCTTGGGACTTGGATTTCACTAAAGCATTTTCTGTCCTTGTTTTCCTTATTAAATTAGCAAGACTGACTTGAAGCAGAATATGCCATTATGACCCAAAATGTTGTTGAAAGAGCAGAATAGATGGGCATAACGAATATCACAGGTTCCATTTGGGTTGTGGGGGGTGGGGCAAGGAGAAGAACATGCTGGTGGAAAGATGTTTTCTCTGATAAAGGTCGAAAAGGAAAAACATGGACAGAACAAATGAAAATAGTGATGTCTGGGGTGAGCCTTTTGTTCTTTCTTGTTGGTCTTCTTAGTTTTTATTACTTTGTTTTGCTTTTGGGGCTTGAAATCATTTCCATGCCTGAGAAATAACAAGCCCCAGGCACTGTGGTGGGCACATCTCTCACTATTTGGGGCCTTTGCCCAGACAGGCTTTCAGAGTGGGCTTCCCAAAGCAGATATCAGACCCTGCCTCTTCTACAGAGACATTTGATAGCACCTGCAGCAGCTGGCAGTCATGTTGTTGCTGTCATTTTCCTGTGAAAGGCCACAGCAGTTTAGTCACTGTGGGCTCTTCCCTCTCTGTTGCACCTCCTCAATTGTGGCATTGGAATTGTGGGCGCTATGTAAACAAATGGGCATGGCTCTGTTTCAATAAAACTTTATTTGTAAAAGCAGGCCAGATTTGGCCCTTGGGTAGATCCTGGGCCTACATGGCTACCCTGTTGATGCCTTGACCTTTTGCTTTCAGAATTGGGGTTACAGAAGACCCTCATTCTTCCTAAATCCCAGAACACACAGTGGTTCTTGGAAAGGCTCATCCCTTTGCCCCTGCTGCCTCCTCTTGCTGGGCCACCATCTTCTCTTGGTTCTCACTTTGCTGTGAGTTGGCTCTCCACACCTTACCTTAAAGCTCTGGCAGTTGCCGCTAGCCTAAGTGAGCCCGTATGCTCTCTGGAGCTCTTTGTTTATATCTGTAATGCAGCTTTCACTGTGTAGCTTCTGCCTGACTAGACCTCAAGGAGCATGCAGCCTCACTTCCCTTAGTGCCTAGCTTAGAGGTTCTCCAAAGAGGTGACGCTAACTCACCATTGCCACAGTGAGTCAGCTAATCTGAGAGAAGTATACTAATTCCTGGGTGAAAATGCTACAAACCCATAGGAGTGACGGGAAGCCAGGGGCCACTGTTGCTTGGGGGACAGTGGCTCTCAGCCACCAGGAGCACAATCTGGTCCACAAGGAGGAGACCAATTGCAGTCAGGACGCAGTGGGAGCCCTTGAGCAACAACCTCACGACCCAGACAGGAAGGGAATGAGAGAGAAACAGTGTCTAGGTTAGGGTGTTGGAAGCAGAGAGAGGATGAAGCTTGTTGGAGGGAGATCAGAGGTGCAGCCTGCTTGATTAATTAGACAGAGGAGCTGACTCATGAGGAAAGATGAAAGTGCCTGAGGAGCTTAGGTAGAGGACCAACAGAGACAGATGATAACAGCCTCCAACTATGTGAGATGGATAAACACCCTGGAGGACTCAGCCAGCTTCATTAGGGTGGTGAAAATAGGGGCCTCATCAAAAATGAGAGGCATACTCAGAGAGGGCAGAGGAGGCTGAGGGGGTACTCAGGAGTTACTGGTAGGCTGGGGGTAGCTCTGAACTGCTAGAAACACTACTGAGGATGACTCTTTTAGGGAACCTTCATGCTTTTATCCTGCAGAGCTTCAGAGCTGGCCACGGCTCTGAGCCCAGGCCCTGAGAGGGGGCTGTAGAATGACTCTCTGACTACCAGCCTGGGGAAGGCTGTCTGGGGAGGAATCTAGAGGGGAGCCATGAGAGGGATACCAAGGAAGACAGAGAAACTCATTCCCCACCATGCTGTCTGATCCTGGCTATTAGTACAATTTTGAATCCTTCTTCTTTAAAGTTAGTTTGCTACCAGCCCCTACCTGTATTTGGTGAAACCAGAGATAGGTATTTCAAGGGCTTCTTGAATCCCCCTGATGGTGCTGATGTATTGAGAACCATCTCTAAAGAAATCTTATTTAGGAGAGATTCTAATTCATGTGGGGGCTGCCCTCTCTTCTCTGTCTGTATCTGTTCACTATAATGGTGTTGGGAAGAGTGAAACAGAAGAAAGCCTTTATTTCATGGTGGGTCACCCATGCACATGGCACCCTGCTAGGGACATGGATTGCACAGGAGCAAGAAAAGCTCCCTGCTCTCTGAAAGCTTAGGTCCAGGGGTCAGAGGACAGCTACTGGTAAAGGAAGGTGGGCCCTACCTGTTACAGTGGAGCATTTCAGAGATAATTCTCATCCTGCACAGTGAGAGCCTGCATGGCTTGTCTTATCCAAAACTCTGAAGGCTGGGCTGCGGAGGTAGCTCAGCAGTCTAAGCGCCTACCTGGCAAGCTCAAGGACCTGGGTTCAATCCTTGGTACCACGTGCCCAGCCGGAAACTGGGCATGGTGATGCACACCTGGAATTCCAGCGCTGGGGATGCTGAGACAGGAGGATCACTACGAGTCTGAGCTGCATAGTGAGACCCTGTTCCAAAAATGAATGAATGAATGAATGAATGAATGAATGAATGAATGTCTAAGGGCAAGTCCCTCTACAAGTCCACACCCTGTTCACCTTTACTCTTAGAGTTGGCCTCAACAGTTTTTTTTTTTTGTTTGTTTGTTTTTTTAGGAAAAAGAAAAGCACTAGGTAGTTCTTCATAAATCTGCGAGTTCTTCAAGCCAGAACAATAATGCTAACCTAAGTAAGAGTTTTCACATGATGGCATGAAAAGTTCTCAGCGGATTTAAGAGGGCTTTTCCCTGTGGAGTTACACATTTCTTTTATGGGTGATACTATGTAGGTTGAAGTTCCCATAGGCTATTTAAGCAAAAGAAAGAAACTCGGACAGATAATTAACAGCACTGATGGGAGGCAGATATGGTCAGAAGTGCAGTTGAGTGAAGTCTGTGTCATTGCAGTGCAGTAAATGGCCCTGGCAAATTGAGCATTGCCTCTTTCTTTTGAACTGCTCTGAAATTTAATCATCATCTAATGAGCTTTCGGCCCTGGATGTTTCACTTTTAGAGTTCTGCAGAGTTGGCTTACTGGAGAGAGAGAAATATGGCGAATGTACTCATATTCTAGCTCAGAAGTTCCACGAAATTCCACTTTCCACAGCTGCAAGCTACTTCTTTAACCTCTTCCCTTTTAGGACCTTTCTGTAGCTAGAGCCAGTGCTTACTGTTGCTGCAGGAAGGTTTCTTTTTTTTTTGGTGTGTGTGTGTGTATGTGTGTGTGGTTTTTTTTTTGTTTGTTTGTTTTTGTTTTTTTTAATTGTGTCTGTCCTTAGAGTTTCTAGGGAAAGAAGAACATTGAGATGTGGACACTAGGGGGCCAGTTAAACTAAGTCACAGACAGCAAAGTGGCCACCTTCTAAATACCAACTCATGACAAGTCATTTTCAAATGTTATATATAAAAAGCACGTGCAGAATGCATGTTTTAGACATCCAAGTTCATTCAGTTACAGCTGAAAAAGGAACTGAAGAAAGATTGATCTTTTGAATATACTTTGGTTTTATTTTTATTTCTAATTTCTGCTTGTGTTGAGTGATGGGGCTATCATTGCAAATATCAGAATTTTAGAGATGTCAAAGTAACCTGTCTCCAAACAGATATTTTCACTCTCGTCTATTTGTTTTAGACCTATAACTACAGAGAGTCTTGGAATTCCTTACTTGGAAGGAAACATGTCTTTTTTCACATTTCTCTGTATGCTTGTTTCTGATATGCTTACCTCAGTTTCTTGCCATGATAGATACTTTTCAATGGTATTCATGAATAATTGTACAACATGATCTCTGATGCTTTGTTTTATTTATAATTTATCCAGCTGTAGGCATTCAGATGAAACTCGAATTTTTCCAAAGGAAGTTCTGGACCGCCAGCAGACAGGTAAGGTATAATCAGCATCACGAGGCATTAGCAACACTGTTATTAGATAAGTGGTCACATTTTAGTGCTCAGGGCCTAGAAGTCCCAGCTTTCCGATGCGTGCTTTTAAAACAAACTACCGCCAGTTCAGATTTCCATTTATTTCACAGCAAAATAGAGAGCTGTTGGCATGTCAGACACCACACACTGGGCAAATCAAGGAATTTGCTTCTAGGAAAAATTTGATTTGTGAGATCAAGGGAATGACAAAAGGAGTTTTTAATATTGAGCCTGTGACCTTTTTCCTAATCTTGTTATGATGCCTGGTTATTTATTTGGGACTGTTCTGCAATTCAGAAGAGCTGCCTATGACTTGAGTTGTCAATGTATGTATCTGCCTTCTTTGGCAGAAGTGTTTCTCTGGATGGTTCCATGTTGGGGAATCTGGAGGTATTCCGTTCCTTCTGTGCTCTTTGTATTGAGGGATTTCAGTGGTACTTGTTCAGTGATTATGCAAAAATAGCAAGTAGTAAGTTGCACCTGATTATACAGCTCTAATGTCAGAAGTACATATCCAAAGGAAATGATATCAGCATATCAAAGAGATACCTGTACTTCTGTGTTTAGTGTGCACTTTTCACAACAGCTATGGTGGCCGGGGAGATGGCTCAGTGGAATAAGCACTTCCCTGGCAAGTGCAAGGGCCTGAGTTCAATCCCCGGTTCCACCAAAACAAACAAACCTACAAACAAACACAACAGCTATGGAGTCAACCCCGATGGCCATGAGTGAATGAATAGATAAGACGATGGCATGGCTTATCATTTCACATATTAAGATACTTTAGAAAACTATAAACTAAGAAGATAGATGGGTCACTGGGAATTAATTTAAAATGTAATGATTATATCATTATACCTTGTTCCCAAAAGATTTGCAATCTTAACGTATGTAGCGCCAACACTGAATGGGGACTTGAATTAAAATAGATGGAAAGGAGCCAGCCCTTCTTAAATATTTTTAAAACTTTTATATTGCTACTTAGAGTGGATACTGATTCTAGAGAGTGCAATCCAGTCTCAGCTTGCTCCAGTCCCTTTTGATGTAATTGGGCCTGCATAGTTAAGTGGCAGCCCAGGCAGATGCGCAGAGGCCCCAGTGATGTGGTTTCCCTTGCTTCTCTCTGTGCAGTGTGCCGCTCTGGATGGCAAGTGCTCCATCAGCTGCGATGACGAGGTAAGGGGGTCTCCTGGTCTTGATTCAGACCAAGGGAAGGTGACAGATGGTGCTTAGCAACAGAGGCCACCAAAATGGAGCCAGGTCTGGCACATTCCTGGGACAGTATCCAAAAAGAAAACAGGATATTTGCTTTGTTCTCCCCCCTCCCATATCACCAATCAAGTCATTTATTTGTAAGAGCTACAGAAGTGTGCTTTAAATATTGCCTGGACTGCACAATTAGATTTTTTAGCTTTTCTTTATAGGCAGTAATACACATGACTACCATTTGAAGCTCACTTTTCAATTCTCAAAGCTTATACCCACTGCCTTATTTTCTTTTCATTTTTATAGCCACCCAGTGAAATAGACAGCAATTATTGGCCCACTTTGCAGATAAAAATCCCTGAAGGTCGGAGAAATTAAGTGCCTTGGTTAATTTCATATAATAAGGAAACTAAAAAGCTGGAGTTTAACACTGTGAATCTCGTTAAAATTCTTTCACTGAGCATGGTGCTTTCCTTCTAAAGCTCCTTCTCCTGTCCTTTTCCATCTTTTAGGAGGGGGAACTTGAATCCAATGCATCCACAATGGCAGAAAAATATGCCACTGCCCAAGTTGTCTATCAGACTTGCTTTTATACACACCCGTTCCAGTTCATTGTCTGCCCCGCCTGACAACAGAGTCCTGGTGGCTTTTCACTTAGCTAAATGTTAGTCAATATATGCATTAACCTTTATAAGAAATCATATATTTATAGTCCTTCTGGTTACCACAAAGATTTAATAAATCCTAACCACACATAATTTCAACCTGGAAATAAAGATTAGAAGTAGATTTTTTTTTTTTTTTAAATTAGGCAAAGGAAAGCAAGCACATAAATATAAGAGACAGTCCAAGATGAAGTTAAAACACAAAATGTTTGGTCGCTCAAGGGTCTGGCTGCCAGTTTAAAAGAAAAATCATAATCATAATTAAATCAGCGCATGAGTCATAGTATCCAGAAAGTAAAAATCCAATCAATTAAGCTTTCAGTGGAAGCCCAACCGTTTTCTGATCATCAGATCAAAACTAATTTTCCCTTGGGACAGAGAACACTGTGAAGTTTTATGGCCAGCACCCTTCAGTAAGTTCAGGGCTAACTTTTTAAGACAGCCAAGTGGGCCACAAGGCTCTCCTTGTCTTTGAAACTTTTTCTTTTTTGTCTTGTTGGAGTGAGTAACACAGTTCAAAAATGATGCTAATCAAGAAGCGTCCTGAGAACCTGTGTGAGTGCAGAGCTCTCCCCCTTTACAGTAGCACTAATCCCCGATTTACAGTGAAGAGAGCTGAGGAAGGGTAGTTAGTTGGCTGGTGGGATGGGTGAGAGTTTGGGTGACTGGTTTGCTGATTAATTGCCTGGTTCATTCATTGTTTGCTTGAGTGGATAGATGAACAGTAGTTCAAACTATTTGGTGAGTAAAAACATAGGTAGGGATCTTCCTACACGTCATACCGTCTCCATGGATCCTCATATAAGAACAAATGGAAATAGATGCCCACTTAGAATTGGAAACATCCTTTGTGTGTGCTATTCGGTGACTGACTTCAAGGAGAGGTAGCCTTGCAGCTAAAGGCACGGAATACAGGGGAAGGCTGACTAACTTTCAGCTGTGACTGATGACAGTGAGCTGGGTGACTTCAGGTGATTTTCTGAACCCCTCATACCTGGTCCCTTGATCACATAACCAGTAGAGAACTATCTTGCTTTTCCAGTGATGGTGAAGAATGAATAAGAAAATATATGAGAAGTTACATGCATGGCTTCTGACAAATAGCAAGTACTTAGGAATGTTAGCTCTAAACCTTCTGTCCTTGGACAGAGAGCTACTGGCATCTGAGAGCTCACAGGACAATGGCACATCTAGTAGGGCACGTTAAGAATCATGTCACAGACATTACTAAGGACCTCTTTTCAGCGTCCATTGAGAAGCACCTCATTTAAATTGCATTTAAAGTTTCATATGCCATCAAAAAGTAAGCATTGAATTAACCCTCATTTTTGAAATCTACCTGACACTCCAATGTCCCCAGCATTCACTTTGAAACACTTATGCATTTTCTTCTTTGACTCTTAAATTTTGGCACCAGTGAACCAGATAAAAATGGTTTTCAATCAGTGGAAGAGTCTGCACTGACTTCCTACCAAGAGCCATTTCCACTCTTTCCCAGACTGTTTCCATGTGTCATTCTCCTTTCATAACTTTTAATTAGGCTTTTGAGACCATGTCCTTCCTCTTCCCCAAGACCCTCCAATGAGCAGGTCCCCATTAAACACAGCTGTAGGGGCTCATTAAGTTCAGTGTTTCTGGCTTCTCCACTGCAGTGAAGAGCTGGCTCAGCTTCTCAGTGTGATCAGGCATGCTTGGCCTTAGGTGGACTCCAGACCTCACCTCGTCCCCTGTCACTGTATCAGCCCTGCACCTGGGCTGGAGGGTGGAGTCGGTAAGGCTGAAGACTTCCAAAGGACTCCTTTCCACTCAGGGTAGAGGTCACTGTTTGGAGCCAGGAGGCAAGAGCTCAAACACTCACTCATACTTTTCAGACACGTTTATTGAGCTCTTCTGTGAGACTGACTGAACACAGGAGGTGCAGTGAAAGCAGTCGGAACTGGTCCCTGCCCTTTTGGAAACTACTAGGTGGCAGGGAGACCAGTTGTCTGAACATCACCTGTGATGGGTGCCACTTAGGGAAGGCTTCTCAGGGATGGGACCACCTAAGTCAACAAAAGGAGATGGTATTGAAGGCAGAACCTGAGGCACAAGAAGAGTTTTCTAGGAGCAAACTCCATTGCAGAAGTACAGAGGTGACAAAGGGTCACTGGTCAATGAAAGCAGGTTTGACACTCAAGAGAGAAAGGAGAAAGCAGGACAATGCCCAGCGCGGACCTCTGCCTAGCTCCTCAGTGCATTTACAGTCTTTGCCGTCCTGATTGTTTATCAACCACCATCTTTTGTTGACAGCACCAGGATTTTGCACAGAGTGGAAGATGAGAAGACTGGCACCTACTGAGACATAAGGGGAGGAATAGAAGAATCAAAACTTCATAATAAATTTGGCTCCATTCTCTCTTCTTGCAAAGAAATAAACTGGCTGTTTTTCCAAAAGAACTGAAAACAACATCACATATATATGTGCACCCATGTTTATAGAAGGACAATTTGTCATAGCAAAATTGTAGAAACAACCCAGATGCCTATCAACTGAGGAATGGATAAAAATAGACGTGGTATTTTACACAATGGGATATTACTCACCTATATATAAAAAAAAAGTCGAGGCTTTTATAGGTAAATAGATGCAACTGGAGATCTTACTCACAAGTGAAATAAATCAGACCCACATGTGTGAACATCTTATTTCTCCCTAGTGTAAGAATCTAAAAGAATAAATCAAATCTGAAAGATGCAAGAGATACTGTGAAAGGGAAAGAAACTGTTCAAAGGGAAGGAACGACTGGTATGAGGAAAAGGAGAAAAAAAAAAGAAGGAAGAGAAAAAATACAAATGTATATACACAGTATAGCTTGGATAATTGTACTGCTGATTTATACTGGTCTATTGAAAGGGACAGTTAATGCTTAATATTTTTCTTTTAAAGTTTTTGAACCAATTTTGCATGCCTATACATGGCAATCTGAACAACTAATTTGAAGACAATATGCACTATAACAACCATTGTTGAACTCCTATCATTTTATTTAGCAAAATTCTGTATTGTTTCTACTGATTTTTAAAATTATTTTTATTCTCTTTAAAAAAATTCTAAAAAGAACTAATTTTAAAAAAGAAACAGGACTGGCAAGATACCTCAGCAGTCTAAAGCACCTGCTTAGGCGGCAACCTTAGACAGGCACAGGGGCCCACAGTCCTATCCCTGGCAATACATGCTGCACCAGCCCCACCTTCAGGATGGGCTGAGTTGGCCACAATTTTAAAAAGAAGAGCTGTCCAAATAGCTCAGCAAATTAGGCGCAGGGACTTGTGGGGTGGGGAGGGTTTGATCCTTGGGCCTGACATGCCAGCCCCACCCCTGGGGCACGCTGAGATAGCCATTGAGACTGGGTGTGGTGGTGTGTGCCTATAATCCCAGCACTTGGGAAGCTAAAAACAGGAAAATCACTATGAGTTCAATCTAGTAGTGAGACCCTGAATACCTTATAGACCCTTCCCTAATATACAGAAAGAAAGAAAGAAAGAAAGAAAGAAAGAAAGAAAGAAAGAAAGAAAGAAAGAAAGAAAGAGCCAGCGAGTGAGCCAGGGAGGTAGCTCAGTGTTCTAAGTACCTGCCTGACAAGTACAAGGTTCAATCCCAGATATTAGTATTGCATGATTGCATACCATGCCACTATGCTGGCCACTGAAGCCAGGCATGGTGGCACATGCCTCTAATTCCAGTGCTGGGACAGCTGAGACAGGAGGATCATTTATGAGTCCAAGCTACATAGTGACATCCTGTACCAAATATAGATAGATAGATAGACAGATAGATAGATAGATAGATGATAGATAGATAGATAGATAGATAGATAGATAGATAAGGTCGGCCAGATAGCTTAGCAGATTAAAGTGCCTGCTTAGGCCGATCAAGGATCAGGGTTCGATCCCCAACATGCCGTGCAGGCCCTGCCCCCAGGGTGCACTGAGCCTGCAATTGAGACTGGATGTGGTGGCACCCACCTTTAATCCTAGCACTTGGGAGGCTAAAAACAGGAGGACCACTATGAGTCCAATCTGTGTAGTGAGACCCTGTAGACCCTATACTAAAAACATAAAAATAAATAAATAAAAGATCATTTTTTTTTTTAAAGAAGTTAGTAATATCTAGTGATCTTTAAGACTTTTTGAGTCCTTTTAGGCCTTTCCTCTGGTACATAACAGACATCTTGAATATGACAGGACTAGGAGCCGGGCTATATCCAAGCAGCTTTCTATGTCCATATCCCGAACCACCCAGCTCAGCTCGTCAGAGGGCAGGATGAGCGTCATTTATGTAGCTATGTAGCAAGGGACACAGGGCCCCTACGAAGCACAGCATTCCTGAATGATCACTCTGCCAGAATTCTTTCAGATAGTATTTTGTACCACAGCTGCCCTATAATGAAAAGATGCATCAGGCAGGGAAAGGGTCGGTCTAAACCTATCTTAATCACTTTCTTCATCACTGAGACTCAATATCGGAAACCCACTCTGGTTTCCAGTAGAGGCCAAGAAGGAAAGAGGAAAGAGCAGGGCTGGGAAGGGAGATTATCTTTTTCTTTTTCTTTTTCTTTTTTTTTTTTTT